ATGCATGCACCCACACAGTCATCATGCTTCAAGAGTGATTGATCAGATCTGGCGTGTAAAAGGTGTTTTTCTGTTTTTCCTGTTTATGCAAGCATTATTGTGCACAGAGGAAGGTGTGTGTGTGTGTGTTAAATGGGTGTGTTTGATTGCTGATCTGTGTGTGTGTGTGTGTAGCAGCTCCTGTGTTGATTTACAGTGAGTTTGTGAGCGCTGCAGCACCGCGTCCTGAAATATTCATTTATTTCACCATTAGTTTCCTTTTCCTCAGGAGAGCACAGAACTTTTGGTCTTGCGTCGGGTCGTTCAGATGCACTCAGCGCACGCAGAATAAATCACAGCGCAGTGCTCGTAAGCGACGGGGCTAAAAATGTGCCAATAATCGTTTCTTCGCACCTGTTCGTTTTTGTTTACCCATAATTACAGCCTTGAACATTAATTTCACTTGGACGCTGGTCGTAGTTCTGCAGCAGTCCGAGCTCCAGTTTACAAAGACGTTTAAATAACCTTCATAATGCATTCAAAATCATTTTTAAAGACTAGTAAATATTCAGTTAGTTTAGTTTAGTTTACCTTTATTTAACCAGGAAATTAAAAACTCTTGAGATTTAAAATCTCATTTACAAGAGGGTCCTGACCAAGATAGGCAGCACATTTAGTTACACATAAAACAAAATACATTCGTTTACATAGAAACATACACAAATCACTCAAAACATTTACAATCAGGTGACTCTACAAATAGATCCTTTAAAATACATTTAAAATCATTAATGATACCAACTCTTTTAAATAGTTGATTCCAATCAAATGGAGCAGCATAACTAAATGCCCGTTTAGTTATGCTGTTTGTACGAACTTTAGGGATGCTTAAAAGATAATAATCTTGTGAGCGAAGACCATAATTCTTTAAACCTTTTTGAAAGATATTCTGCTGTAAATACGAAGGAAGTAATCTTAAATTATTTTATATATAAATAAGTACCAATGCTTAAGTCTACGGGATGACAACGCCGGCCATCCAACAGTTGTAAAATAAGAGCAAATCAAATTACAAGCAATAGCACAACATAGCCTACTATTCAACAAAAATACAAATGGAAACCCGTGCATTTCAGGGCAGGTCTAACAGTGATTTTCAGGTAGCCTACAGAAATTTAATAAATTATGCTAATCAAATAACACTAGTCTTTATATCTTTTTTAAAGTTCAAGAGCAGTGAGTGATTGTTTTTTTCTTTGTTCTGTTTTCTTTGATCAACATTAAAAACAAAGACAACAGCAGGATTATTGGAGTTCTGTGTCTGTCACTTTAACACCGTGTCTACACCGCAGCAGCTTGAAGATGCGACAAAGCGGCCGTTGCGAAGTGCTTGGACTATTTCAGAAATGGAATGGGGAATCCGTTTACTTTCGGCGATTTGTCGTGTCGCGCCGCGCCACATCCTGTGTAGACAATATCACTGATTATAATGGGTTCTATTGTCTTTTGACACATTGCGTCGCGCGCGGTTCGTGTCCGGTTTCTTTCTCAGCTGTTCATGTTCACTTAAGAACCAACTATTTTACTAGGATACTCATCGAGACGGGCATTTTTGACATAATTTAGTGTGAATTTGTCCGTTCAAGCGCAGGAAGGAAGCAGAGCTCTTTTTTCGTATGTTCTAGCTCTTGAATATTTACATTGCAAAGGCTTAAACTTTTGTGATGAAGCAGCACTGACCCGTCAACTGTACGGAGCGTCGTTCACATTTGTGCACGATTATGTTCTCACAACATTGCACTGTTAGAATTTATAAAAATGTTACCGGCCATCTGGCGACTGACACAGTTTCATATACTCGCCAAAGCCGATTTTTACTCTCATTTGGCACTTGGGGAGTATTAATTTTATGCCCTGAGTGAAAGTGAATCATGGCTATTGAGAAAGTACCATTAAAAAAAACTATAAATATACTGTATATAATTTCATTTTACTAAATCAAATTCCTTAAATAGCTCCTTAAAGTCAACATGAAATAAAAAAAATTACCTTATTTACAGTACACTTACTGCACAACTGTGAACGTTTATTGGTTGGTCTATGTAATATTTCATCAAAATAATATTATAATTTGTTCAGCCTCTGAAACGACTTTCCTTTTCAGCTTTTCACCAAATCCTCTTAATTTTACACATAAAATCATGTTTTAATTCAACATTCAACATGACATGAAAACTGACCCCATTTACTTTCCTAATGCATGTTCTTGGTCTTACTGTGAATAAAATAAGAGCAAATCAAATTACAAGCAATAGCACAACATAGCCTACTATTCAACAAAAATACAAATGGAAACAGTGCATTTCAGGGCAGGTCTAACAGTGATTTTCAGGTAGCCTACAGAAATTTAATAAATTATGCTAATCAAATAACACTAGTCTTTATATCTTTTTTAAAGTTCAAGAGCAGTGAGTGATTGTTTTTTTCTTTGTTCTGTTTTCTTTGATCAACATTAAAAACAAAGACAACAGCAGGATTATTGGAGTTCTGTGTCTGTCACTTTAACACCGTGTCTACACCGCAGCAGCTTGAAGATGCGACAAAGCGGCCGTTGCGAAGTGCTTGGACTATTTCAGAAATGGAATGGGGAATCCGTTTACTTTCGGCGATTTGTCGTGTCGCGCCGCGCCACATCCTGTGTAGACAATATCACTGATTATAATGGGTTCTATTGTCTTTTGACACATTGCGTCGCGCGCGGTTCGTGTCCGGTTTCTTTCTCAGCTGTTCATGTTCACTTAAGAACCAACTATTTTACTAGGATACTCATCGAGACGGGCATTTTTGACATAATTTAGTGTGAATTTGTCCATTCAAGCGCAGGAAGGAAGCAGAGCTCTTTTTTCGTATGTTCTAGCTCTTGAATATTTACATTGCAAAGGCTTAAACTTTTGTGATGAAGCAGCACTGACCCGTCAACTGTACGGAGCGTCGTTCACATTTGTGCACGATTATGTTCTCACAACATTGCACTGTATGAAACCTACATATTTATTTCTAACAAAACAACATAAATATTAGTCTGAATAAAATAAACTCATTTTACTTGCAAATGAAAAAAAGTAATAATTTGTTCATGCTGCAGTGGTCATCGCACTGTACAGCCCTGTCAATAGGCAATGTTCATTAACAAAATTCAATCTAAAACTGTGAGAAATGGGAAAAAGGCTAAATATATTTTACAAAGGTTTTGACACTAATATAACTCCGTGTATAATTTGACAAGTCAAAACGGACCTGAATGTGTTATGAGGGTTAAATAAAGATACATTTATATTTACAAAAAGACTTAAGAAAAATTACTTAATTCTTATTTTCTGACAAATTTATCCAAATTAAGTGAGTTTTTGCTCAAAACAAGAATAATACAATATCTGCCAATGGGGACAGAAAAATAATTGTTTTTTCTTTGAATTAAGTTATTAATTAATGTTTCTGACCACGTTGGCAGATATTTGTTCTTGTTTTAAGCATAAACTCACATGATTCTGATGCATTTTTCAGAAAACGATGCAATATCATGTCAAGTCGTTTTGCTTCTCTAGTAAATGTATCTTGATTTAAGAATTGGGATGTGCAACCAAAAACATCAGTGTTTGACAGTTGAAGAGCCTCAGAAACCTTTAAATGGCTGACTTTTAATGGGTTCATAAAGACACCTCCTCTGTTTATTCTCACCTGTTTATTGCAGGAATTAAAAGTGCATTAAAAGTGTGTGTCCCGCTAGGAGAATTAGGATGAATGAGAGCTGACGGCGGATGATGTGAAGGGGAAGTCTGGTCGCACGCCGCTGTGAAATGAATCACATTTATGCTCGCCGGTGCGGTGGCAGCCCAGCGTTTAACGATGATAGAGTTTGGACACTTCATTTCTGTCATTGTGAAATTGGCACGAGGCACGGCTAATGATGGTAATGTATGTTGTGCCGTGCATTCACTTCGAATCCCTCTCCATCTCGGTTTAAGCGCTCCTGTTGTTTGGCATATTGCATTATGACGAGGAGGAGGGCAAGGAGTAGATGCGTTCGCTCACTTCCAAGCATGGTAATGGGAAACACGCTGATAATATAAATGTCTGTCCTTTTGTTGCAGGAGATTGTGACTTCGAGAAGCCCTTCTCGTCGTGTGGATACACCCAAGGGCGAGACGATGACCTGAACTGGGAACAGATTGACACCAGTGAAAAGTCTTCGCTGGACCCATGGGTGCCGCCGGGTGAGACCATCGCATTGATCAATTACTGATCCATTAGTGGCGTTTCATGCTTGATTGCTTGATTCATCTGTGTTGATGGAGGTCAAGCTTGTCAATGGTCTCCTCAATGGGCCACTTCGGTCGAAATTGACTGAAAAATTTTACATTTTGAATTTTTAAAAATTGTTGCTTTATCAGAGTGGGATGACATTTGGTGCATTTTGTCACATTGGGTTTGTGAACACACAAAAAAATCACGGACATGATTAAGATATGTTAAAGGGGCGAAAAGTAAAAAAAAAAGCATCACTTGGTAGCTCAAAAATGACTGTGGAAAAAAATGTCTCATAAAAATTTTATAAATATTGCATAGTATTATAAAATCCCTTCGAAAATCTAAATAATAATCAAAAAATATTATTAAGCAAATTTATTACATTGATTTTCCTGAAAAAAAACAAAACAAAAAAAACCCCATTACATTTCAAGTCTTCGGTCATTTTTGACCACGAAGGTACCAAGCGTCACCCAAAAATTATGAAAAAAATCTTTTGTATGTTTGCTCAAAACAAGAATAATAAAATATCTGCCAATGGGGTTCGAGAAAATAATCGTACTTTCTCTTTGAATTAAGTTTATTTGATTACATTTTATCACATCATTTATTACTATGGCTCTGTGATGGCTTTGTGATCTTAGAATAATAAATCCAAAATGTGCAACTTTTTTAAAATAGTTATATCTCTTAAAAAATAATTGTTAAAAAATCTGTAGAAAATAAAATGATGTGTATTTTGAGGGTCTTAATGCATTTGCAAAGTTTCGTTCCCTTACTAAAAACTACGCTTTTTTTTTTATGAATCTCTTCTGGATCAAAACGGACATGAATGCATTTTGAGAATTAACTCAAGATACATTTACTTGAAGCACAATGACTTGAGAAATCAAGTCTTATTGTCTGATAAATGTATCAAAATTAAGTGAGTTTTTGCTTAAAACAAGAATAATGAAAATAATCTTGTTTTCTCAATGGCCTTGTGAATTACAAAAGCAACTCTCGGTCAGTTATTCTTCATTTTACACCGGATCTCTCAGTCTGACCGTGTCAAAAACCCCTCTAAAACCACCAGAACAGACCGGTCTGCTTAATCACATCAGGCTGGTTTAAGTGGTTTATTTCAGCAGGGTCACGTTCAGGACAGTCTTCTTCGGTGTTCGTCTGAGCTTTATGAAGCAACACGTCTGGGATTTGAATCTACAGCCTTAAAGTTATCCAGGGTTCTTAAAAAGACCTTAAAGTCTCAATTCACCCACAAACAAAGACCTTAAAAAGGTTTTAAATTCGACCAGAACATCTTAAATTCATTAAATGTAATGCATACGCTACAAAAAAAAGTGCAAATATCTAAACATCCTTAAATCAAGAAACGTTTGCTTGAGATGCAAAATGAAGACGGGATGTTTTGAACAAAAGTGACTTTATGCTTAAAACATGAAAAATATCTGTCAACAGGGTATAAAAATTAAGTTTATTTTCTGACCCCATTGTTTTAATCTCACTTCGTTTTGTTCAGTTTCTCTGGAAATGTTAATCTTAAGTCTTAATTTGTTTGCTCCTCAAGTAAATCTTGATTTAAGAATCTTTAGACATTTGAAACAAGAAAAAATACTGAACAGCATCACGTTTTTGTGTCTGACGTTACATTAAAAGTTAGTCTTGTAGATTGAATCAGAGATATTCAAGCTTTTAGCATTACTTTTTTTTTTTTGTAAAATGAATTAAAAAGTGACGGAGATCTGTTGTAAGTTGCATTTTCAAACTTTAAAGTGTTGTCAATACAACTCATTGTCTGCTCTCTAGACATTTACCTTGAGAAAGCATATTGACGTATTGTGTTTCCTTCAATCTTCTTAAAAAGGTCTGAAAGGTCTTAGATTTACGTTTATACGCCTACAGCAACACAGTTATCTCACAGCACACATTGACAGCAGATCCACCGCAGGGTTCTGTGTCTGAAGAGCCAGATTTAATGGGGTTTTACCTGATGATTTGATGTTTTAGAGCGATTCTGGCTGATTTAACAAGTGTTTACCCGACGTCTACCTGTTTAACAGGCAGTTTAGCTTTAGACATAGATTGCGTTCATCTGATGATTTGATGCTCTAAATCTGCACGATTTCTGGAAGATCAAGTTGTATTGGTTTTTAATGGACGTCATTGAATATATTTGAGCACTGTTAGGTTCTAGAAGTAAAGATGACATTCTTTTACATTTCTAGGCTGAGGTCACTGATGATATTTACCCCAGCGACTTAACACTGCTTTTGTGCTGCAGGGTCACATTTTACTCCCCATAATCCTGAAATACGCTGTGGAAATTCAGTAGCACCACTGCAGATCGCTCTCAAACTGCTTTTATGTCTGTGTATATTTGAATATTTTGCAATTAAACGTCACAATTCATGGTTTTTATGCTCATAGTGATTGAGGTGTAGGTGGTTTTGGTTGCATGGCTTCATCGTTCATTCACCTGCTGAATGAAATGCTGTAATCTGCTTCTGCTGGGTTTGGCTGGTTAGAGCTCTTTATTGAGGATTGTTTGAAATCTCGATGGAGGGAATAATGGGCCGAGATGGTGTGCGATCACTACCGCACTTTATTAGAGAATAAAACCAGCAGAATCAGCCCTCGTAAAAGCGACCGGCGCTCGATAACAGCTGGCTGACGCTAATGCAGGAAAGACAGAAGCTCTGGGAATGAATTTTTATATCAAAACAGGCAAATCTATTTTAATTAAAGCGTTTTTACTCTAGCAGTGGAAGTCATTAGGATGCTTTTCCCGTATTTGGAGCGTCTCTCTCTCTCTTTAATGCTGCATTGATCGCCTCTCATTTGATTTGAGACGAGGACTCTGGGACTGACAGCACCTCAGGAATCAGACTAATGGAGACGCCGCTCTTGAATGGATATTGTTTTCCTCTTAAATCTGACACGTAATCACACACACGCCGCTCCACGGATAGATCACGTCCCGTCTGGTGTGTGTGTGTGTGAGTGTGAGTGTGTGTGTGTGTGTGTGTCTGACTGACACACACACTTTGAAATTGAGCGCTTGCTTGTTAGTGTGTTTTAGCCTAATAGTGCTTTGAGTTTTGTAAAGATGTTGTCGTTTTTTGCATGATGAAATTCAACGTGAAATGTGAGCCTGGAGCACAAAAGCAGTCTTAAGTCGCTGGGTCAAAATTATTGATTTTTATTTTATGCCAAAAATCATTAGGATATTAAGTAAAGATCATGTTCCATGAAGATATTTTGTAAATTTCCTACCGTAAATATATCAAAACTTAATTTTTGATTAGTAATATGCATTGCTAAGAACTTCATTTGAACAACTTTAAAGATGATTTTCTCAATATTTAGATTTTTTTGCACCCTCAGATTCCAGATTTTCAAATAGTTGCATCTCAGCCAAATATTGTCCTATCCTAACAAACCATACATTAATGGAAAGATTATTTATTCAGCTTTCAGATGATGTATAAATCTCAATTTCACAAAACTGACCCTTATGACTGGTTTTGTGGTCTGGTATTTTACATGAAAACATATTTACAGAATTTACAGGTGCTAAAAATAAAATCATTAACTGTAATTTTTTTTTTTTTTCACAAAATGAACTCAAAGAATAATGAGAATTAATTATTTTCATTTATATGCCCTAATATAATAGTAGCTACATTTACATGCACCCAAATAATCAGCTTGAGGTTGAGCTCATTCGGATCGTTTGAGGTGTTTATTTCATTTAGTAAAAAAAAATTAGCTTCATTATTTTTGGTATTTTTAATCTTTAATCTAACTTTTAATTAGTATTTATTTTACATTAAACAAATTCACAGCATTTACTTAAATATTGAGGTACTAAAATCATTAAAAGGCTGAAAGGGGTTTAAAAGACAATTAATATTCAGTAATATTATTAATTTAACTGCACTAACCAGTGTTGTTTCAGTATCATTTACATACTATTATAGTTTTTATTAATACTTTGAATCAGTTTTTATTTTTATATTTTTGGTTTTCAGCTGAAGTTTTAGTAATTTTATTATTTATTTATTTATTTTATCATTTTCAGTATTTTTTATTTTTGTAAATATGTCTATATAGTTTTTGTTTTTTCAGTTTTAGTTAGCAAATTTTAATTAAAATGAAATGAGAAATGTTATTTTATTTTTTATTTTATTTCAGTTCATGTTTGTTTGTGCTTCAAGTAACTTTTTATGGTTTTAGTTTTAGTTTCAGTTTTAGTTGACTATAATAACCCTGACTGACACTAGAACTAAATTTTAACTGAATTGTTCTGAATAATGACTCTGTTGTCTTCTGTAGAGCTGCTTTACAGCTGCAATATTCATAATTGCTGAATTTTACAATATTGACACTATTTTCTACAATAATTTCCTGTTTTATTTCTGTGAAGCTGCTTTGAAACAATCAGTAGCGTATAAAGTGCTGTAGAAATAAATGTGACTGGACTGAAGAATATTGATATGTCAGTAGTCCTCGTGCTGATCTGTGTGTGTGTGTCTGTTGGTCATTATGTTTGAGTGTTCAATTCCTTATCCCTTCACACACACACACACACGCACACACGCACGCACACATATGCGTGTAAATGTGATTGTGTGTCGGCCCTCAGCACTCTCTCTCTCGCCGGGCGAGTGTTGTTACGCCTCCCTGTGGAGCCTGAGGACTCCTGGGTAATTATTGGCTTTCTGCTCTCTGAATGAGTCCAGTGAGGAGGAGGAGGAGGAGATCCGACAGCCTTCCTCTCCATCGCTCAAACTCACTCCACTAGTCACCGCAGAATATTATATTCTCTTGCTTTCAGTTCAAATATCTGTAAATTCTTCAAAAATATTTTAAGTCACTTACTTTCCAATGAAAGCATCAACAAATTCTTTATTTGAGAAGCAACACTGTGTGAGATATTAAGTGTATTTCGTTTCACTGCAAAAAG